CCGCTTGACTCAGTTGAGTTCAAGTTCCTGTCATTTAAGACAGCGCTCCTGGTCGCGCTCACATCCATCAAGAGGGTTGGGGACCTTCAGGCATTTTCGGTCAGCGAATCGTGCCTTGAGTTTGGGCCGGCCGATTCTCATGTTACCCTGAGACCCCAGCCTGGTTACATGGCCAAAGTTCCCACCACTCCCTTTCGGGACCAGGTGGTGAACTTGCAAGTGCTGCCTTGGAGGAGGCAGATCCAGCTCTTGCATTGCTGTGTCCCATTCGCGCTTTGCTCATTTATGTGGAATGCACCTAGGGCTTGAGAAGCTCTGAGCAGCTCTTTGTTTGCTTTAGAGGACAGCAGAAAGGGAAGTCTGTCTCTAAGCAGAGGTTAGCCCACTGGCTAGTGGATGCCATTGCCTTGGTGTACCAATCACAAGGTGAGCTGTGCCCCCTAGGGGTGAGAGGTCATTCCACTCGGAGTGTTGCCTCCTCATGGGATTTGGTGCACGTTGCCTCTCTGGCAGACATCTGCAGAGCTGCGGGCTGAGCACCTTTGTAAGGTTTTAGAATCTCCAGGTGGAGCCAGTTTCCTCCCATGTGTTGGCTATGAACAGGTAATTTGCTGTCTTGCTCGTGGTGCCATTCCTCTGGTTAGGATACGTGCACTTATATTCTTCCAGTAAGTTCCCCATCTGGTGAATCCTGGTGGAATCCTCCAACACCCTGTGGCATTCAGACTTAGCGGAGGAGTCTGTTGCCACGTCCAGTATTTGGGTTGCATGCCATTAGTCACCCCCTCTTACTGACTTGGTGCCATATATGAGATTCCCTTGGCAATTCTGTATGTTTTTTCACAGTACGGTTTCCGTTAATAAATCCGTTAGTAAATCCGTGTCTTCCCTGGACAGTTTGTCACTGTCAGTTCCTGTTGTGTGCTCCGGAACTTGGGTCATGACAGTTGTCAGATGGTGCTGTACCAGTCTTAATATTCACATTCCTATTTGGATGTGTCTCCGCACCCCAATGGTTGCTAAAATCCAGTATTGTGAGAATTTCGGAACACCCCTTTTTTCCGCTACCCTGTTAAGCCCGTATACTTGTCATGTGATCTGGCTTATGGGGTGTTGGGTAGGTTAAAAAAGGTAGGTGCATCTGTCCTGACACGCTTGCTTGTCAGCACCTCCACCTTCAATTTTCGTAAAACAGTTCTAGTTGTGGTGCTTTCCGTAGGGACCCCTAATGTCAGTGTCGACGTAACATCGAACGTGATTGACTGAAAGGGTACGTCTCGGTTATGAATGTAACCCTCGTTCCCTGAAGGAGGGAACGGAGACATTACGTCCATCATGCCACAACTGTGAACTGCGCTGAATGCCGGGAAGCTTACTCGGCTCCTCAGCACAAACCTGAATGAGTTGATGCACGCCACCATCTTATATACCTGTATGTACGGGGAATGGCTTTGCATACAAATTCCACTCTCCAATTGTCATTGGCTATTTCTCGTAATGCTCAGAGGTGATTGGAGCTCCCAAGTGAGACCCCTAACGTCAGTGTTGACATAACATCTCCGTTCCCTCCTGCAAGAAACAAGGGTTACATGCGTAACTGAGACGTTTTGTTCTTATAAGCAACATTTCAATATTAACTTGCTTTAACTGGAGACTCCTGACTTTTACATCCCTATAGCTGCATGTTATTTGAACATGGTTATTTTTCATGAAGAAAAATATATATTTTTTAAGTGTTAAGATTTTTCTTATTTTAACTTGTAACTTTTACAACTTAGTCTTTCTCACCATAGTTTTTACAGCACTAGTCTGTGAAGCTTTAATTTCTGAGGTAATAAAAATGTGTCCGATTTGTCCAGCAGAACTCAAACAACACCCTTGAGCTTGTGGAAATGTGCTGAAAAGTGCACACTGTGTCCCATTGCTTAGGAATGTCCAATTCTTTCCTCCATTTTAACTCTCCGATGCATGAAGTATTAAATCACAAGGAACAGTGAAAAATATCTTACTTTTTTACTTTCTTTCTTTTTTATTATAAAACAAGAATATATCATTTCCAGACGTTATATAGAAAGTTACTCACACTGCACATACAGGTATGCTTGTAATATAATTTAAACCAGTAGCAATTTGAAGGTTATCAAAGAATACTAAAATATCATTTTGAATCTTACATTATTATTTTATTTTAAATAAATAGTCTTATATAGTAGGCATACATATTTAAATAAACCCTGCATTAATATTGCATAAAACCTGATTAATACATACAACCTGATTAAATACATTCATTACTTATTCTATTGAAATATTTCATTTTTACCAATATGGACCTCATGGAATGAAACACAGGTCAAAGTTCATTGGTAACAAACCATGGTCCTTTGCATGAAAGATCTGTAGACACCATGCATCAGATGGGGAATCCTATATAGAATATATATATAATGTTAACACAACCAAACAGATAACAGATAGCAGATAACCTGTCTTTCAAAATGCACAAGAACCATCAAAATACTTCAGATAAGGCCAAATGTGTGTCAAATATGTCAGGGTTAGACAGATACACTAATACAGTATCAGCAGCATATAAATAAAGTGTATATTGTTAATAAAATCTGTGTTTTCTTATCTTGTCTGTTTGCCAAGATTGTCAAACAATACAGGAGACAGGGGACATCCCTGCCAAGTTCCAGTTTTGTGTCATGCTCTTGTGAGGCATCCATTCATTTTCAATTCTAGCTATAGGGTTCAAACATTCAGTCTGAAAACTTCTAATTGATTTTTTTTTCCAAAAGACTTTATGCTGTTTTGATCCTGTAGCATGTGAGGGAAGATGACAACAGTCCCTTTAATAAAAATAAATAATGTCTCTGCGCAACAGCCTGGAAGTGCAGAATTGCTTGCTTTCAGGAATACCACAACAATTCCAATATCGTGAAAATATCCTAAAATATGTTTTAAAATGCTTATAATAAATATGTTTTGTACTAATATTAAACAAAAACTAAATGTACAGGAACTCTAAGAAAATGTGTGTTACATAAATACAAAAATTTCACCACTAGGTTCTAGTTTTAACTGATCCTTTATTACTGGTATTTTAGGAGAAAAATCTAGAATAAAATAATTTACAACACATCTCTTTTGCCTCCCTTGATGAAAGCTATCTTACTCGATCATGGAGACAAACTATAAGAACTTTTAACCAGATATAAAGTCATTTAGATTGATTCAAATGAAATCTGAGCATGGCATTGGCAGGCAGTGTCCATCATTCATAATGATTTTAGTAGCTAATGGTTCAGCAGTGGCCTTGAACTTATTGTGTTCCAATGCATGGCATGAATGTGAGGGGGCGAAAGACAGTCAAAATGCATATATCAAGTCAAGTGAGAGGAGGTTCATGGGTTTTAGCAAGCATTCAGCTCAGTTAATCATTACAGTTGCAGCGTTTAAAGAGATTTGATTACTAATGAACAGTGTTTAAAATCACACACTCACTCTCAGAAATAAAGGTACAACTGCTGTCACTGGGGTGGTACCTTTTCAAAGGTACATATTTGTACCTAAAGGGTCCATATTCAGAACTATCAGAGTTCCTCTTAAACCCTCCACCTTCCCCAGACCCACCTGTCTAGATCTGCTACAGGTAATTTCATGTACGCTATATAGTACATGCTCACAGCAGTGTGTCTGTGAAAGTAATGACAGTAGCAAGTCTCTGCAGCAGCAGTAATAACAAACAGCAGCAGCAGCAGCAGCAGCAACGTAGCAGATCTACTCCTCCAAGACCAAATACAGTAACACTGTCATATCCATTAACATGGTAAACTATACAGAGAGTTGTGATGATAGAAATAGTATATTATTAATATGAACATGGAAAATATTATAATATAGTTTTCATGATAATAGTGTAAATGGTTTCCTTAACCAGGAAACTGTAAACATCATGGAAATGGAACATTAATTTTTATTAAAAAAAGCCAATTGATTTGTCCAGTTTGTGACAGGAACATCACGACCACTGTTTCTGTGAGGTGACCTTGTGATAAACCGTCTTCTATAAATATCTGAGTTTGTTCTTGTTATCCTTTGGTTTCTTTTATTTAGTGCAAAATGTATTGCAGACGAAATATTGATTATAAAGTTTTACTTATCTGTTCAGAAAAGCAGTAAGCTATCTAATGTTTCTTTAATTTTTATACAACACAATGAGCAATGAGTGCTACAGTATTTCAGTGCTGTCACTGTATATTTAGCACTTAATACTTTAATAGTTTAATGAATAAATTTTGGTAATATCACTTAGTTTCATTGTGTCTTGTATTCAATTTAAAATATTAATAACCTATTACTCTTACAATCCCTAAGAACACTCTCACTAACCCTGTTTCAAAATCCTTTGAAAGTGAATGAAACTATGGATATCAGTGCGAAATACTTACTAATGGTGTTTATTTGCTTAACTATGATTTCAGAAAACACATGTTATGTGATGCTACAAGTAAACACGTTCCACATCACTGGTTTGTTTTATTGCTATTTATGACAGCTGAAATGACTTTTGTTTGTTCAAACTCAAGGTAAATTGTTTCTGTGTAAACATGCATCACATAATATACAAGTTGTGCTGAGAAGAGGAGACCATGTGCATGATGCCAGATATGGTGTAAATAGTCATGCAATCTGATTAAATCTTTTATTTATTATTATCTTTTTGCCCAATACACAGTAAATGGTCTGTAAACAGTCTTTAGGCAATCCAATGCATCTAAGGCTAAGCCTCCCGAAAGAAGCTTTGATGAAGGTCAATTATGAGAAATGAAGACAGAGATTTTAAATGAACTGAATGTGTAAAGAATTTAAACTTGGTGTTAAAAATGTATCAACATTACATTTTAATTCTAGTCATTATTTTCAAAAAGCAGCTAAAGTACCATAAATGTAACAACATTTATGGTAAAGGAAAATAAATAAATAATCAAGACCAAAGATAAACATGTACCACGATGATTGTGGAGTTGCAGATAGAAGATATTTGCTATTTCACAAGAGAGAGAAAAAGTGTACTTCTATAATCACAAAGCTAGTTCAATTAACAATGCATATTTCATTTTTTACATTGTCTGTCTAACATACATGACTGACAGTGAGCTCTTCTTTGAGTGGTTTGTAAAGTTGAGGGTCCTCCACAGACTGCAAAACCAAACAGAAACATTAGTGCACTGATCAGCTTTCTGAAATCACTATGATCACTGTAGTTTGTCAGTTGTAACTGTGCTGGTAATTACTGCACCTTCGCACTTACATTTGTTTCACACAATTCTTTCAGAGTCGAGACAGAGAAACTGAGGGTCGCACAGAGCTGAAGAGCTGAAAAGATCATCATAGTGATATCCAGTGTTTCACGGATCATCTAGAGATGGAAAATATCAGTGTCATGGAATAAAAGCAATTTGAATTCCTGCATCAGGAGTCTCAAATCCCCCCCCCCCCCCCACAAAAAAAAAAAAAAAAAAAAAAAACGAACAAAAACAAGCTGGTCATTCAGGTTTAGAACGATATGAAATGAAAATCAATGAAAATGATTTTTCGTGAATTGATTAATCACTTTAAATTCAAAACCATTTTAACCAAGAAGTTAGATATCATTAACCATAACTTAGCGCACATGCTTATCCGAACTCTTTTGATCCATATTATGAAAATAACATTGGAAAATAAAAATGTACTTGTGGTTCATATTTATGTATAAACTATTAAAACTTAAAACATTTAAATGAAAGTATAAATAGGCTGTGTGAGACCTGGAATCATAATTGAAAAATACATTTAAATGATTTTTTTTCTTGAAAGTGGCTCATTGGTCTTTAATTTGAGACCTGTGTCATTTTAAAGAAAACAAAGAATAATTACCTTGTCATAGTTCATTTCGTTATAGTGCATAACAACCTTAAAGCTCATTAAGTCCCATGCATACAGTGCAAGGCCTATCATAGCCAGCAGAGCACTGACTTTGTTCAACACCACAGTGACGAGCAGCTGTAATACACAAAATAAAAACACAATGAGATGGCATCTTAAAAAAAAAAAAAAAAAACCCAAGTCTGAATGCAAACTACTGTTTGTGATTATTAAAGGCTTACCAGAAAATAGCTGGGAAACCAAGCTGCAACAATAGACACCACTCCAACTACAAGGAACTAAAATGCAAAGCAAAGAAATAACGGAATTATTTACATTTGTCGATTGAAATAGATCAAAAGATCACACAAAATTAATTAGGGTATTAAAAATCAACCAACTTCCCATTATAAAAAAAGTGAAATTCATGTCATCAACATTGATCATTCACTCTGACTGACATTATGGACTCACTCATTTTACAATTTAGAAACTCAAGAATAATCAGAATGAGGTATATTTCTTACCACACCACCAAGCCAGAATGGAGCATTATACATCATAATGTAGTCGTGTATTCCAGAGTTTATAAATAAAATCCCTGTCATGAGATTGAGCAGTCCTACTATAATCTGCATAATCTACGGAACAAGACAAGAATGTCGTTTATACACCACATTACATTTTATTGCATTAAACTGAATAATAGTTCAAACACATTATATCTCTTTTGCATTCTGTGGAATGCAAAAAGAGACATTTAGCAGAATGTTCGAGCTGTTTTTTTTCCCCATATTTACAAAGGGACAAGCTCTATAATGATGAGCTATCCAATGTTTTTAACTGTATGTAGTTTTGAGTATTTTTACAACATTGGAGCCCCCTACAGTTAAAGGGTTAGCTCACCCAAAAATTAAAATTCTGTCATTAATTACTCACCCTCATGACGTTTCAAACCCGTAAGACCTTCGTTCATCTTCGGAACACAAATTAAGATATTTTTTAGGAATCTGAGAGCTGTCTTGACCCTGCATAGACAACAATACAACTGAAATGTTCCCAAGTCCAGAAACGTAGCAAGGAGATCGGTAAAATAATCCATGTGACATCGTTCAACCGTATTTTTACGAAGCTACGAGAATACTTTTTGTGTGCAAAAGAAAAAAAAAAGACTTAATTCAACAATTCGTCTCCTCCGCGTCACCCTGTAGCGCCATTTTGGAGAACATACACTGAACGTAAACAGCGTGTGCTATTCTGTGTCAGCTGCGTCACACGGATATGCTGTTTTCGTTCAGATCAAATCACAACAACGTAGGAAACCGATCCGGCGTGACGCAGCTGACACAGAACAGCATACGTTGTTTACGTCCATCTGATACTCTCCAAAATGGCGCTACATTAATGACAGAATTTTCATTTTTGGGTGAACTATCCCTTTAAGTGAGTGGGCTTCACTGTAAATATATCACTGTTGTAATTACAGTGGATAGCTGTACACTTGCATTTGTTACTGCCGTAAAACAATCCACACTTTTCATGAAATTTCCTACCCGCTCACCAAACTGACATACTCCTAAAAGAGATTTTGGGGGAACAAGGGCAGTGGGGGTCCCCCTTGTTTGAAATTGCGGTCCGGGGGCACCTAGATTGAACCAAAAAGGCACTTTAGCTTTGGCGATTAAAGGGACAGGGGCTCGAGCTGTGTTGATACAGGCTGTACACAAGACTGAACGAAACGCGAGAGTGAAGTATACCATTCCTTGATTTTAAAGGCATTTGTCTTTTTTTTTTTTTTAGAAATTAGTGTATCATCAGAATGATTTTGAAACTGAAATTTCAAGGTAAATACATACAGTTGCTTTAAAGACATAAGAAAGCTTTGTGAAAGGAACAGACAGATGCAAGATTTTTAATTAATCATGGCTTAAATTTTGTTCTGTGCTTCAACTATCACATGACTTCTAAAGACTTGGAATATAGCGCACAAATCATATGGACTATTTTATGGTGCAAGCAAAACTCTTAATTTTTATTCAGATGAACTGTCTCTTTAAGATGAACCTTAAATCTTATACCCTTTTTTTTGAAGATTGTCACATTGCACACACACGAGGAGACGCTGGAGAATACGTTTAACAGGACTTTATTACCACCAAGGAACCAAGGGAGAAGGGAGA